CTCTCTCTCTCTCTCTCTCTCTCTCTCTCTCTCTCTCTCTCTCTCTCTCTCTCTCTCTCTCTCTCTCTCTCTCTCCGGCACAGCGTGTCCGAATACTGTAGGCTGCTGCTGCCCGCGGTGTCTCTGTTTGTTAAACTTTGTTTGTTTGTTTGTTTGTTTGTTTGTTTGTTCATTTGTTTGTTTTTTGTTATTACTTTTTATTTTTTTTAACGAACCATGGAATTGAACTCCGCGTTTGGTCGCGTTCATTGAACGCGCGTGCGTTCCGTTCAAAAATTGAACAGAAAAGCTGCGCGCGTTCAATGAACGTGCGGTTTCATAGCCACCACTTGGCGGGCAAATCTAATTGGCATTTAAAATCCAAGCCACAGAAAGAATGTCCAGGCCTGAACCTCTTATCCGTTGACTAGAATGGGGTTTTCAAATGACCATGCAAGGGCATCACGAGGGGGGACCGCCCTTTTTTTTTTTTTTTGGGGGGGGGGGGGGGGAAGGCTCCAATCTATTCGTGGGGAGCAGCACGTGCTGGGAACCGGGCCCAGCGCCCCATATGGAATTTACATCGAGTTTTGAAAGTTTGAGAAACTGGGGCCATTACCCGCGGCTTTGACTGAGAGAACTTTAACAGAATTTTGAGCTACTTAGAAAATTACTGCGACAAACTACAGAAAAATTGAGAGAAAAGGTCTGCCCACAACAAAACATGCCACCACAGAGGTCCCACAAATGTCCCACAAATGCTCAAAAACCTTCGAATCCCTAGCAACCCTTCTAAAGCTCGCCAGCACTGTCTCACTCTCTGCCGAGCTCTTCCAGGCCTCACACCCCCACCCTGCTGGGTTACAGGGCAACACAACTCGCCCCAGCTCCGGCCAGCGTCATCCCAGCAGCAACCCTTGGTTGTCCCTTGGAATGCCCACTCACCCCAAAGCGTCCCCAGATCTCTCTACCAGGCCTCACACTCCTGCATCAGCAGGTTACAGGGCGACACCCCGGCACCGGCCAGCGTCGTTCTGGCATCGAACAGCCGCAGATCACTGAGTATATCAGCCATGGAGTCGTCTAAGATGAATTGCTAGAAGCCCCCAGAATCTTAAATCATTCTTAAGACCCCCATTGGCAACCAAAACCAACAAATCATAGATAAAGGAACAACTCAGGGCGTTGCCGCACGGCACACGAAACGAAAAATGGAACGAATGAATCTTCCCACAGAAAATGGCCAGGTTCATAGGTTTGCTATAAATGGTAACGCTACTAACGAGTGTATTTTGCCACCTTTGTTGGGCAGATGCACTCGTTTCGTTTTCGTTTCGTGTGCCGTGCGGCGAGACCCTCAGAAACATTCATGGCGACTACTCAAAACTCTACCAAGTCACCTACGACCACCTCCAGCATGGCTGTTTTCAGCACGAACCGAAGCTCTTCCAGGCCTCGTGACCGCTCTCATGCACAGCGAAGGGCATATGCATCGGTGCATCCCATAACGTTCATTGGCGCGCGGGGGGAACAAGTGTCATGTGGACCTGGCGCGGTGACGCCGCGCCCCAGCCCTCCTAATCCCTGCCTATACATGGCAGGATCGTACAAACACCCTTTATAAACCGGCGTGTCGAATGGGCTGGCAGGAGACTAGAGGGGCAGGGGTTGAATTGAATGGGGCCACGGGAGAACAAATTGGCACACTTTATGGACCAGATGGTGTGGTATGTTCACGCACCATCCGGTCAAAAAGTGTGGCAGTTTGTTCTCCTGTGCCCCCATTTAATTCAACCCCTGCCCCTACAGTCTTCCACCGAATGCAACGTACGGTCATTATAGCTGAATTTAGACTGAAAGATACACCAAATTCAGCTATAATGACCGTACGTTGTATTCGGGGGAGGACTGTAGTCTCCTGCCAGCCCCCCATTCGACACGCCAGAAGTACTGGACATTCCAGGCCATCCTCCAGCACTGTACTGCTATTCCAGGGAGGCATGCCAGGTCGTCAGGGCCACATGTAGATCTCGGCAGAAACAGAGGGCTAGAAAAA